GGGCGGCAGGATGGCATTCATTCGTTTGCCTTGCCTAGGAAACCGACGCACCAACCAACCAACCAACCCACCCACAGCAGCCCCTCACTGTCTTCGTCCTGTCGTCGTCGTCATCTCCTGGTTGGCATTTCTTTTATTACTGAAATTGCGAAGGAGAAATAATAAAAAAAAATAAAGAAGAAAACGAAGAAAATTCTTAATTTCGTTTCGTTTCATCAGCAGCAGCGACAAGATTTACAACATACTGTGAGCATAAAATAAAAATCTTATTTTTGTTCAAATGCGTCGTCCTCGAAGGAGGAGGGTGTGGACAAGCGGCAAGCGGCGAGCGAAATAAATAAATAAAATAAAATAAAAAAACCAACGGAATAGAATGAATAAAAATACTCGAACGTACAAAAGCCATCCAACCATTGTCTGTCGGAGATTGTGGGGCGTTGACAACCTTAATAGTTATATGGCATAGAGAGGGTGGCATGGCAAGTGGATCGGCCGGATTGGGATTTGGGATTGCTCTGGATTGGGTGTGCCCTCTGGATTTCGCTATCCACGGGAATCTACGCAATTGGAACGCATAGCGAATGCAATAAAACGCACATGTGTGTGTGGCTTCACATCGCTTCTGGTTCTCATAATTTCTGTGCGGTTGGCAAATAAATTTGATTTTGAGCGAATTGTCTGGGATTGACTATCAGATAGTGTCTTTACTGACTGCAAATTTAGCGACATATGTGACTGACTATATCGGTGTTGTTACTAAAGTTAGGAGATAGGAAATACCAAGATATCAATCCAAAAAAAAGTTGTTTCAAAAATCTGCAAAAAACAAAGATTAATTCTTATAAACAAATAATATTTTATTTAAACTCAAAATACCTTAAAAATGTTGGTTAAAAAACTCACAACACTATATTTCACTTTGAGTTGCTCGATTTTTCCCACTCTTTTTACTTTTTGCTGACTTCGGTTATTTCCTCGGTCTGACCGTTCCGTTGACCTTTTCCATTGTGAAATCCTGGGACAAAAAGAGAGTCCCAAAGTCCTTTACAAAAGATACTGAAATCGCATTGTCGTAATAATAATTTATAGCACAAAGTGTTTACAGCTTTGAAAAAAGTAAAGAAAAAATCCGAGTTTATTAAAAGGGTTTTACAGTTTCTTTGATTTATCAAATTTAGGATTAGAGTTAAGCCTAGTAAAGAGTGGGGGGAAGGAAAAATTGAAAGGAAAATGAAATTATATCCCTTCAATTATAGTTTTGAATGTTTTCCCACCTTCCTGCAGGATAATGATCAGAAAAGCCTACGAAAAATAAGTAATTTGTTCTATTTTTAACCTATATAGACTATGTAAATAAAGTAATTTTTTTCCATTTTCAATTACACATAACTGCGACCTTCAGTTTTTGAATTACTTCTGCGATATTCGACACGAGTTTAGCTTCCTGAGGTAAAGTAGGCCCCACGCCCACCTGCTGGTTGCCATCGCGATTTCATTTGGCAGATATTTAACACATCGCTTCAACACGCCCAGAAAGAAAAACGAAGAAAATTGGGACAGATATGGAAACCGAGTCGGACGATATCAGAGGTCAGAGGAAAACTGTTGGCCGGGGGACGGGGACTGTGGAAATTGTGCGACGCCAAAGGAGACAGGACAGGACAGGAGGAAAATAATTCAATGCAAAGGAAACAACACAACACAAGCACGCGCTGATAAATGGAGTGGGAATGGAATTGGCAATTGGGGAGGAGAGGTGGGAGTGGGAGTGGGAGTGGGATTCAGTCAGGATTCAGAATACAGGACTTGGAATTCGGGGGCGTGGAAACGGAAAGGCAAAGGACAAACATGCCATGGGCAAAGGACAAAAGTCAGCCCTCTGAGGTGTTGCCAACAGGAAAAGCTTCAATCAGCAAAAAAATATATATTTATACATATATAGGGGGGAAAAGAGAAAAAAAAAGGAAAGGGCGGAAATGCGAAGGCAACCAACTACACATTTAGTGTTTATTTCGTATTTATTGAGAGCAGCAGTTGGAGTTGCCTGGAATCCGAAAATGAAATCAGCAAGAAATAAATGTCCTTGTAGCACAGCATAATATAACCATCCCCCCTCAACCCACATATAAGCACAATATATAAATTGTTTCCAAATCATTGGATACTCAGCCACAGAAATACGAAAATGAAATTAGTCCATTGCTGGCCAAATGTCTCTAAGAAGTCGAATCTTAGTTACCCTTCAGAAAGGAGATTTGCAAAAATCATAGATAGTCATAATGGCCCTATCAAAGCTTAAATTCTTATCAATACTACTTTTTCAATGACTTGCATTTGTAATCTTAAAGATTTTAATACATTTTCAAGGTAATTCCTTATCACTATTCACAGTTAGGCAGCATTAATGTCCCGGAATCGTATAAAGCTGATCATAATGATGATGCGATGGCCAAAATGGCTGACAATGTTGGCCCAATGAGTGTTTTTTTGCTTCAATGAATGAATGAATAAAGAGGCCAAAATGGAAGGCAAATGGGAAAATCTGTCAGGCGCATTAAAATTAAAGTCGAATGGCTTTTGGTCATTTTGCCCCGTTGACCACAATTGATGTGTGCGGCTTTAATGTGTAACCACATTTTTCGGCCATAACAAATCGACGCCCCTCAAGCATAACCATCATCATAGCTTACAAATGGTTTTGGTCAAACTTCCTTCTATTCCTTTTGTATTGATGTACATTTGATGTATCTATGACAGGAGAGGATGTTGGGGGGATTTGACAAACCGCTTCCTGATTTATATTTGATTTCGATGGAGGTCATACAACATTTGTTTAAGAGCGATTCGATTTCCTTGACCATTACTCAAATAGATGAAAGTCTTGTCTGTAACTTTAACGTTAACAGGGAACTAATTTAAAACAAGAAATGGAATTAGTTTTAATTTAGAATTTGGTTTTTAATTTTAATGTTTTTCCTTACCATTTGTTATGCATAAATCGAAGATGTAAGATTATGCCAGAAAGCATTCTTTGGATTTAATTCCTGAGGAAGACTGCTCTCTTCAATCCCCCTCCTCGAACATTACTTCCTAAATACATATTTATTTATGTTTGCCAGCCATTTGTGCAAAGTGTTTGCACTTAATAAACCCATTTCGCTAAGCACTTTGTCAGTCAGTTTGTGTAAGATGGTAAGAGTGGGCGGGACCATGGGCGGGTTTTGCTTCCGTTTTTTGGTTCTTAAGACCACCCACTTACCACTGCCACTGCCACTTCCACTCCTCACGCATTTACTGTTATTTCAGCATTAAAAGTTCATTGAATGGCAAAGGAAGTGAAAACAATTATCTTCAGGAAGGTGAACCATAAATCCTTCGAATCCGTAAGTAAATTGCAAATTTTCGTTTATTACTTTCGATGTCTGAGGGCTCAAGGGATTTGCGGTTAAATCGAATCGATATTTTGTGTTATCATATTTATTATGCAAACACACTTCGATTCCAAGAAAAGTTCACAAGCATGTCACACACGTGCGTACACACACACACACACACACAAAACGTATTATTTGCTTTCGAATGAAATGTAAATTGAAACGCACACCTTTTTTTTGCCAAACATATCAACACCTTTTGCTCAGAAATTGGTTTTTACATCATTTCGCAGCCTATTGATTTGATTGCTGCTTGATGGAATGGAGACGGGTCTGCTTCAATTAGCATTAAAACGCAGAAACCTTCTTATTTTTTTATTTTTATTTATTTTGTATTCTCTTTTATAATCTCCTTTCTTCAGTGACCGCATTCGCTCAACGTCAAATACCGAATGTCCCAATTCCTCCTTTTCTTTATCCTCGCACATTCGTCAGCGAAATAGGTAGGGATGTGTACATGGATTCGATCTATTGATACTAGTGTATATGCTAAAAGGGGATAACAATATAAATATTACAGTTAACTTGGGTTATTCTATTCTTTTCTCTTGTACAGTGGGTCAGGTAAGTAGATCCTATGCTATATGTAGTACAGTGGGGCGTAATAAATATGTGTCGTCCCAGATGTTGCTATAAAAATTTTAAATTAAAACTCATTTATATTAGGAATTTTTGAATAACTGTTTTTAATGTTTTTTATTTTCTTTATTATCTCCTTTATTACCTCTTTAATAATGTGTCGCCTTTCGCTTATTGTCAAAAACAGAACGTCGCTATTTTTCTTTTTCCTTATTCGCTCATCCTTCAGCTAGATAGGAATATTTATTTATACATATACATATGTACATACAGTGCCGAACTAAATTTTTGGCACAGAAGGCTTCATGAACTTTAGGGCACGATTTCTCCCCTTAAAATTGAGATATTTAAATAAACCAAAATTTATACATATAATGTTATAAAAACATAATACGACAAAGTTTATTTCAACTTTTTACCTTCAATGGTTGATTTTTAAAAATTAAATAACATAAATAAGAGGTGAATTTGCCTGAACAAAATTTTTGGCACACTTATTGAAAAACTTAAAAATAAATGAAAATAACTAAAATTAATACTTTGTGGGTAAGCCATTTTGTTTTATAAAGGCTTCCAACCGTCTTGGCATCGAAGAAACGAAATTTTGGGTTGTTTCTGCCCCAATATTCTGCCCCTTTTTCTATTAGAGCCACCTTCAGCACGGAATTTGTTTTTATCGCGCGTTTTTTAACGCACCTGTCCAGCTCCTTCGCACAAATCTTCAATGGGATTGAGGAGGATGCGGCAGAGTATGTTGGACGTTATGTCCGACATGTTGGAGTGGTTTTTTTCTTTAATATACAATGTAGAAATCGTTAATATAATCATTAAATTAATTTAAAGTTAATTTGTTTGCACATAAAAAAAAAAATGATTTTGATGGAAATAAAATCATTTCTAATCTTTATAACAAATTAAAATAGTGGTTAGCGGAATCAAGAAAATTTGTCCTTACATGTGTGCATTTCAGGCCTGTATTACTGTAAATTGTGAATCATTAAATTATTTAATCAAAAATTATTTAAATTTTGGTGTATAAATAGACCGCCACGATGAGTCCGTACAGAGCCAGGACCTCGGCAAAGATGAGTATCAAGATCATGCCCACGAAGAGGCGTGGCTGTTCGGCAGTACCCCGTACTCCGGCGTCTCCGGCTATACCGATTGCTATCCCCGCCGTTAGTCCAGGGAGTCCAACGGACAATCCAGCGCCCAAATGCACAAAACTCTTTTGCAAGGTATAGTCTTCATTAATCGATCCGACTATTAAAACAGCGATTACCAAGCCGTAGATGGCAATTATTCCTGACATCACTACCGGAATAATGGCTTTCATGATCAATTCCGGTTTGGTAGCTGCCATTCTGCTAATACCAATCCCAGAAACGGCCGTTCCATAGGAAGCTCCAAGACTTGTGAATATAATCGCGCTCGCTGCTCCAGTGCATCCCAAGAAAATGGAATAGGACGGTGTTTGGTCTTCCTCCGCAGCCGTTGCCATTTTGAATCTTCGAACTCTGATGATAATCAATAAATGCTTGGGATTGAAGGAAATAGCAATGCTTACTTATATTTTCCAAATTCCCGATTTCTTAATCTTTTCTAACATGAAGTTTTTCCTTTCACGTTACAAAAATGTTTTAAGCATTTATGAAAGTGTTTCTTGCTCTCAACGGTTTTGTGGAAATTTATAACCTCGCAGGACCACCTCAAAAGCCATTCTTGGTATTGAAAATCGAAGCTGCGGTTGCTTATTCACTTTGAGTGGTTTTCCCCATGGCCTTTCAGCGCTTTTTCCGTTACCCTCCACTTGTTTCAATTAAACAAATTGGAAAATATGAGACCGACTCGACTATCGAGCTTAAAAAGGCGACACTTTCGAAGGTCCCCACCTCAGCGATGTTGTTTCGCTTCCTTAAAATGGAAATTTGTTGCCACCGCTGTGGTAGGGGAAGGGGAAAAGGGCGGAATTGTTTGTGGAGCTGGGGCTTCAATTGCTCCCCCATTTTTTTTTTCTTCCTTTTGCCATGGCATTTTTATTTGTGGCCCCAACTCGGCTGCTTTGCATTTTGAATACATATTCCGCATATTCCTTGAGGGAGCTTGTAACTTTGTCAGTAGCTTTGCGTTCGTGTGATGTGATTGTTAAGTTGCCACAGATTTGTCACAGGCGACTTTTGTGAGTCGCGACTGGGAAAGTGGGGATTCTTGATTGCTTTTCGGAACGAGCAGAAGGTGGGCTCTAGTCCTGTTTTGTTTTTAAAGAGTATTAAATAATTTAAATCTATTTTAATTATGTTTCATGAGATTCTTTGTTTGATTTATTGTAACTTGAAAAAAGTTAAATCTACAAAAAGATTGTATCTTTTTAGAAATTATAAAAGTCCATGTTTTTGTAAATAAAATTGCTTTCACTTGGTGTAAAGATAAATGGCGACAATCAGACCATAGAGACCCAGAACCTCGGCGAAGATCAGGATCAGGATCATGCCCACAAAGAGACGTGGCTGCTGGGCAGTGCCACGCACTCCAGCATCGCCGACAATGCCAATGGCAAAGCCAGCCGCCAGTCCGGCAAAACCAACGGAAAGTCCGGCGGCTAGATGGATATAACCCTTTCGAATGGTATAAGTATCCGACAATGAACCAGCAATCAAAACGGAGACAACCAATCCGTAAATGGCTATAATACCGGCCATCACCACCGGAATAATAGACTTCATGATCAGTTCAGGTCTCATCACAGCCATGGCTGCTATTCCCGTGCCCGACTTGGCTGTTCCATAAGCAGCTCCCAGAGCCGAGAAGATTATGGCCGATGCTGCACCCATCGATCCGAAGAAGAAAGAATATGCCGGCCTATCTTTTTCCGGAATTTCTTCTGGCATTTTGATATTGCTTCTGGAAATGTAAATGGGTTAAGTCCATAGGGAATATTTTTTAATTTCTTACTGATTTCAATTCTTTAAAATGCGTCGTCTGTCTGACTCGACTGAATAGTCAGGCTGATATACTCTATGAAACCTTAACCTTAACTATTACCTCCCAGCCATCTTTGTAAAATTATATTTTTAAAGTTCGTTCTACCTTTTTTATTTTTATTTTTTTTTTTTATTTGTATAAAATATGACAGCAGCTCTCGGCCCGGCTTAATCACATCTAAGAGCTAAAAGTGCGAAAGGTTTTCCATTAAAGATTTATGCTGCGCTGAGGGATTTAGCATCGAAATCCTTTCTTCTCTTCCATTTGGAGTTCCTTTTGGGTCGTCGTAGCCATTGTTGCCACTGCCGCTGCGCTTTGTTAGTTATTGTTTGGCCCGCTTTTTGCAACTATAAATCGTTTATGTATTTTGTTGAGTGCGAGAATTTATCGCTGGAGCTGGCTATGAGAAGGAAATCACATAAATACAAATAAATCAAAAGCATTTCGAATGCCAATGGCAATACAAACAATCTTTTCCTTTTGCTTCGAAGAATGGAAAATTGAGAAATATAAATGGGTGTTAGTGTTAGTGTGTATATGTGTGTGTGTGTGTAGTTGCTATAGGCAGGCTAGACTGTGCTGTGCGAAAATTGATGTCTTGCCTCATAAAAATAAGGCATCAGAAGAATCGCCCGAATGTGTTTTTGTTGAAAGCAACATTGTAAATTTTATGACTTTTTTATGCGCTGAAATCTATAAATTATGTAAACTGACACTGACAGCTGTCAACCGAAGGCTCAGCGACAGCTCCAGTCGCACTCACAGGCCCATCCGGAGACCCATTCGAAGTCCCGTTCCCAGTTGACAGTGCTGACGGAGATTTAGCTTGGTGTTAAAACTTTGATTTTAGTTTGAAATTTTTATAGTTAATAGTATTAAAAAAAATCAAGTTAAAAAGATTTTTTAATAAGCTAACTTAAGGTAAAAAATAAATAATAGGTAAACCTTAAAAAAAAGCTATATTTTACTAGAAAATAGCTGATCTGGCAACACTATCACTCCGCTGGCAAGCGGAACGGTTGCAAATGACACATGTGTCAAATGGTCGATGGGGAAGCGCGACAAAATTTGCTATTCCCACTGCCTGGGATCTGGCTCCATCTCCCGAGCACTCCGCACCACTCGACACCACCCAACCAAGAGGCAACCCACCGCTCCACGCACTATATCGCCCAGATCCTGAACCCCCCCACCCATGGACTTTTGGCCAGAGTGAACTGATGACTCGAGATGATTAAATGATTGCGAGAGGCAATAAAAAAATTTATGTTTCGAATTATTGCTAATATATATTTTCTTGATTTTTTTCCTCCCCTAGCCTTATTTGATTTTCTCTTGGGAAATCCTTCTCTTTCTTTATTGTTTGCTTTTTTTTTTAGTATATTTGCTTTATGACTTGGGAGATTTCCCAGTATTTTATAGTTTAGAAACATTTAAAACATTTGCTTGCTTAGTAATCCCTAGTTAAGCCTTAACCTTTACTAGTCCTGATTTTCTTTTTTTTTTTTCGTAAAGTAAATCACAATGTTCCTGCCAATGTGCAATAAATGAAAGGTCGTGGGTTTTCCCCGGAAAGCAGGCGGTGGCACTAACATAACTAACGAAAGAAATTAACCGAAAATAAATTAACTGGAATCTCCCCCTCGAAACCAACAAAAATGGGGGCCAAAAGGGTTTCAGTATTCCGATTCCGCTGGGTCTGGGGTGTCAACCGCTCCGCTCCGCTCCGGTTGCTGTTGCTTCCGCTGCGATGGAGATGGATGTGAATGTGAATGTGGAAAGGGGATAAGGGTATAAGGGTATAAGGGATAAGGAGACGGAGACGACTGGCAACAGAATGACTCTGTGTGTGACTTTCGGAATCCCAAATGTGTTTTCAACATGCAATTTTTATTATTGACTGCTGGCTGTCGGTTGTCGTGCTGGCGCGGAGCTGCTTTTCAGTGTTTTCCGCCCAGCGAATCGTGAAAATGTCATTACTGTCAATCAAGTTGGCCAAAGGTTTTTCCCACCACCCTACCACCCAAAAACCCAGAATATTAAAGCCCTGCTGGGCCAACCAAGTGACAAATTGAAAAGTTCATTTAAAATCGAAGCGGATTGGTGATGTTACAATAATATTTTTAGCCAATTAAATTTATGGTTAGTATCAAAGGAAAATGCTGTGAAAAATTCAACTTTACTTAATAGTTAAGTTTGAACCAGAAAAATTGATTTTCTAATAATTTGATTATAAAGTTACCCATGACTGATGAGTTTTAAGTTGTGTGACATTACAGAACCTCAACCACAAAAAATTAACATAAATTAATTGTATTTAAAGTTTTTAAATATGTCAAATTACAGTTATTTGATTAAGATCTGAGTTAAACTATTTTTCTAACACCCCAATCCGCTTTGTTTTCCTTCAAATTTAAGAACAAACTCAGACTAAATTATATTTTCCCAAAAAGTAATTCTCAAAAAGGGTGTGATTTTGAAGACTTATTCTATGCATAATTATATAGAACTGACAGGGATTATTGGCTTGCGTGATGTGCGTCCATTTCGATATGAACCAGGAGAAGTCAGAAGCCGGCAAAGCACACCGGGGGGATTGGAAAATTGAAAAAGTCCAAGGAGTCCAACTGGCGGAAGAGTGATTGCCAACATGCATCGCCGACATTGGCGTGCCAAATGTAACGATTTAGGCATTAGGCAGAGCTTGTTGAATTCCAAAGCCGCTTGGACAGGGACGGACAGTGGTAGTAGCTGATATATCTTTTATTATGTAGTTTTGTGTCATCGTAAAAATCGCCAGCTATTACTTGATTGTCCTTCATTTTAGCCATAAAGCCGTTGTCGGCCTTTGGCCCATTGTAAAATGATTTACTCGCCTGCGCCCCGTTCATTTGTGGCAGCCAATCGTTTGGAGTCTCTATTCTCATTTTTTTTTTTTATGATTCTCCTTTTTTTACGGTCTTTCACAGTTTAACGAGCCATCCCGAGGAAAACAGGAAACTCGAACTTGGTCTGAAGCAATCTATAAATGATTTTTTCCTATGGCTGAATAGTATTTTATTTTTCGATTTCTTTTTAGTTTTTTTTTATATGAATAGTATTTACTTGCGTATATTGCAAAAAATACTAAAAAAATACCAAGACGTCTGGCAATTTTGCTAGGAACATGCCTTTCAGCTACATAACAATAAATGTTAATAAATTTAGTAATAATACAGGAATGTACAAATTCTTGACGAAAGCACTTTCATTGGTAATTGTTTCATTTAAATCTAATTTAAATTTTGGTAAATTTTGCTTATACTGGCCAGGCACATTGCCGGGTGGCGCGTAGCGTACAACCATTATGTACCTCTTATTTTTATTCCTATAATTAAATCAGTTACAAAGGTTACACTGTGAGAACTGCTTAGAACTTACGCACTATTTTTAAGAGCTATACCAACTCCTATTTTTTTTGATGATTTCCACAACATTGCAGTATATTTACCAGCCAAAGACTGTTCGATTTTAGATGGAAACTTTAAGTGATTTCTAAAAAATAGTCCACCCTTTGAATACCAGTATAAAGCACATGATTCATTCACAAACTCGCAAATACTTTCTATATAGTTTGTATTTTTTGGATCTGAAGAGGGATATGCTATGTGATCTGTTATGATCACATCTTTATTACCAAACTCATCTACTTCGTTAGTCCAATATAGTGTTTGATCTGGAATATTCAAGGTAGCCAGATGCTATGAGAAACGAATATTAAGTTTGTGTAAATATTTTTTGAAAATATCCTCTTACCCTCGCGTATTCTTTACAATCTCTGTTGAGTTTCGAAGATACAGATAGTCTTGGCCATTCTTCAGATAGTCTTATTGCATTAATTTCTTGAGCCTTGGCTAAATACGATGGAGCTGATGTTCCCAAGCATCTTTTGTCGATCTGAAATAATCATTTGACTTTAAAAAGGCCAAAAATATGATTAATATACAACCATAAAAACAGCCAGAAAGACAACAAGAATTTTGTACATATACATAGTTTCCGAAAATTGACAGTTTTTCAAAAAACATACTTTCAGTTTTTTAAATTTCTAGAGTGGAAACTTCGTCAAGGCAAACAAATTAACATACAAAATTGATAGCTGATACTGAAATATTGAATGCGACCAAAGCAGCGATATATTGACTAAGTGACAGACTGTCGAAATGTCTGATTGACTGACTGAAATCGTATGGCATTATGTGACCCACAATCTCAACATGGGCTTATTAGCAAAGACCAAGGACAAGAGCCTCAAAAACATATATCCTGGTTGGTGCCTTTTTTTGGGAGGTATATTAAAATTGATTACTGCAGCCCAGCCCAACATAAAACCAGGACCAAACACAATACCGCACCCGAACTGAACCATCTAGACGAGAATATGGCAGACCAATGACGTGACGGCAGCCCATTTACTGGCGACAAGTTGGCCATTTGGGTTATGTGGTGCGTAGGAAATTACTAGGTTGCTTTCACCACGAACGCGGAATTATTTTGGCCATCAAAAGGATATATATTCTATATCTATGTGTTTGAATAAGAATTTAAGTTGTTAAAGGACTCCACATAGTGCTCCTTACATATCATAAATAAATATAAAAAGTCGTTTAAAAAGTACTAATTAGTTCTTGGTTCTTATTTTCAAGATAGTTTCTATTACTTTTCATATGCCATTTTCGGCTTTTGGCCACAGCAATTCAACTACGTCTAGCAACTTTGACAGTTCGCTTGCAGCACCTACTAAAAAAAAAAACCGACCGAAAACTAAACGAAAAAGTTGCGTAAACTTCAAGTGCAGGGTAAACAGGGCCAAAAGAAGAGAATCTTGGCCAAAGTAATACAGAATGTATGTTAGTATTCCTGAGCCAGCACAATTCAATTTAACTTTTTCATTCCTTTTGCCAAGCTCTGTTGTATTTATTTATATTTTTCTTTCTTTTTTTGTTATGTATATGTATGTATATATATATATATATAGTATGACTTGTGTGCAAGTGTGATATGTGGATGTTATGGCAATTTCAACCGGAGTCAGAGTCCCTTTCAAAATTAAAATGTTCCTTATGCACGAGAGATTTCTGATGGAACGAAACGAAATGAAATGAAAGCTAACGGCCTGGAAGTCAACCAACCTGCCAGAGAGACGACAACGACCATGTTTGTCGTGGATATATCAGGGCAGGGTACAAATGTGAGTATATAGTATGTACTTATTGTACAGAGCTATATGTTTCTATTCGCAGAAGTGGTTTCTATGGCTGACTATGACTCTGAGCCCACACCCATCCAGTCAACACAAAAAATTAATTAACGCTTGATGTGTATATTAGCCCCAATCATGCGCCAACGAACTTTGGGATATTCGTATTCTTCGGCCTTATTTGCATTTAAGAGTTGATTTTGTAATAGATCGTATAAATGTCAAGAAGACTGAGTCTTCTGATCGTAATAGCTTCCAATCGAAAAGCAGAACATGAAAACCGAATATCCTTTTAACTCAGGGAGTCCAAATGCAAGTGTAGGTGGTCAACCTACAGAGAGTAACACGAAGCTTTAAGCAAATCCACATGTCCGACATGAAAGCACGAGTAGACCAGGCTAACATCTTGGTCGAAAAGAAGAAGGAAAAAACAAAAAATGTGAAAAGATGGAAGACGGAGACGTTTCATTTCATTTGCAGGCAGGCAGGGCCATAAATCTCCGTAAACTACTAGCGCCCAGTGGGTCGGTTGGCCTGGGAGGGTGGTTGAGAGAGGGCACGAAACACGAAATCACATTCGCAAAAAATAATTAATATTTATTACCCGAGAATGAAGTATTATCAAATTGCATAATTGCTGTGTTTCTCATTCGACACGACAGGCTAACAGAAAGGGCCAGGGCGGGAGGGTGCAGTGGGGACCACAGAAGGGAAAGCTTCCTTCACCGTATCCGTTGGCTTTCCTGAGCCAATTCCCCGATCCTGGATGGCCATTGGCCACCCGCACGGCGCCCTCCAGAAATCCAAGACCAAGTCCAAGCTGAGAACCTGCCTCTAAAGTATGTACAATATACCGTACACTCAGAAAAATATTCTTTTGTTTTCAACAGAGATATTTTCCATACCAAAAGTTAAAATAAACGGAAAAACCATAGTTGATTAGCACTATTTCGATATGACCAATATTTAACCTTTAACATTGCCATAACTACCAGCATTTTCTCTCAGTGCTCGACTACGTCTTCGTCTTCGGACTGCCTTTTAGGTCGTGGTAGTGAGCCCGGCTACTTGCGCGCAAATTGCTACTCTCGTCCACTGTTCGGTCCGAAAAAGTTTTTGATATATGAATTAAGTTTCCTTCGGGCCTTGGTAAGTGAGTGTTGTGTGTTTGTTTGGCTGAGTTTGCAACGGCTGTGCGGCGTTGAGACATTTTGGATTTACGTTGTAATTACAGGATTTTGGATTTCTTCGTTCGGCCAGAGTCAACTGGTCGGGCCCCCGGGTCGCTTGAAGGTTATTTATTATGACATGTTATTTAGGTTTCATTTCAAAAACTTGATTGGACACTTTAGACTGCCGTTGCAGCGGAAACATTGCGTGCCCATGTGTTGTTCGCCAAGAAAACAGAAAAAAAAACTCCACCAAGAACATTGTAAGGAAATACTATATATAGTTAGAACGATAATGGAAATCGGGCGCGAAGAGGGTACCGGATTTTCCGTGTTGCCCCCGGGTGTGAAGTTTCAAGCGGCCAAAATACACGCGATTCGACTCGGGGTCAACAGTTTTACTTCAGATTCTCACGGATGGACTGCGTAAAAATATTATTTAATCCAATTCTATATCTAGTAGTATATCTAGTAGTTAAAAAAACTCTATTTATACAATTTGTTGCAAGGCTGAAAAGGTTGCAAAGTCCGTTAACGTTCCAATTAAAATATTTTTAAAATTATTAATAAGTCTGGCAACATCGAAGTTGTTCAACACTATTTACCAGTGCTTAAAAGTGTTGATTCGAGAAAAGCGACGTTGCTGCGAATTGACGAGCGGCAACCAAAACTGTAAGTTCCAATAATTTTAAGTTCTTACGTTTGTAAACTGAAATATAAATTTCAGCTGTGTTTGTGCTTAAGCTGAGAGCTTTAAGTAAGTGGAAACACTCTGAGAGTCAAGAGTCACACCCCGTCTTAAGAAATGAGCAGCACTAAATAGCCAAGAAATCATTTCAAGAAGAACCTTCACCATCCAAATTCACGATGATGTGCATGATTTAGAGGCTCTGGGCCAGACAATGTGAGAAAAGAAAAGCGAAGTTTTAACGTGAATTCATTTAAATAATTCAACCATGATTCCACCATATAGACTTTTGACCTTACGAGCCGGCGAGTTAATAGCACTCTCAAATTATATCAACTTGTATGACGGACAGGAAAAATGAGAATCAGGCTGAGAGATAATTAAAATGAACGAAATTAATTTGTTCCACTTCAGCCACCCGCCTAACAATGATAAGACGTTTCCAACTTCTTACCAGGTCTGGAGAGAATGTCTAAGCTATGGCCCAAGCCCATATGTCTTTGTTTTTTTTTTTTGCCTTGCTTGTTGTTTTCTGTCAGATTTTAGTTTTTCCCGCTAGCTAGCAGTGTATATTTTCTGTTCTGCCTGGCAAATCGACATTTGACTGCACCATCATGAGCTCCAGCAAGAAAGTAGAGAAACGGCAGGAGAATGACACCCTGGGACCCATGGAGGTGCCTATGGATCGCTTTTACGGAGCACAGACGATGCGCTGCCTGGTCAACTTTCAGATTGGTGGAGAGGAGGAGCGTATGCCAGTAAGTCATATCCAATTTCTCCAAAACAAAGACGGTAATGTAATAATAATCATTGGCGAAATCAGCGCCAGATAATCCAGGCTATGGGCATACTGAAAAAGGCGGCGGCTGAAAGCAATCAAGAGTTTGGACTGGATCCCAAGCTGAGCACGGCAATCTCGAATGCTGCCGATGATGTGATATCCGGGAAGCTATACGACGAAGGACACTTCCCGCTGCCCATTTGGCAGACGGGTTCCGGTACGCAGAGCAATATGAACACAAACGAGGTAATAGGCAATCGAGCCATTGAAATTTTGGGCGGAGTTATCGGTTCCAAAAATCCGATCCATCCCAACGATCATGTTAACATGTCACAGAGCTCCAACGATACCTTTCCCTCGGCCATTCACATTGCGGTGGCCACCGCCTTGACAAAGGATCTACGGCCGGCGGTCACTGCCTTGCGTGACTCACTGCAAGCCAAGTCATCGGAGTGGAAGGATATCATCAAGATCGGACGCACCCATACCCAGGATGCAGTTCCTATTACCTTGGGCCAGGAGTTCAGCGGCTATGTCCAGCAGTTGACCAACGGTCTGTCGAGGATTGATGCTGTACTGCCGCGGGTCTATCAACTAGCTCTGGGCGGTACTGCCGTGGGAACTGGGCTAAATACACGCCGTGGATTCGCCGAAAAGTGCGTCAAGCGAATCGCCCAGCTCAGCGGTTTGCCCTTCGTGGTTGCACCAAACTTTTTCGAGGCCCTGGCCAGTCGGGATGCCATGGTCGAGGTGCACGGAGCTCTTAATGTTTTGGCTGTCAGCCTGATGAAGATCACAAATGATATACGGTTTCTGGGTTCTGGACCACGTTGTGGACTGGGGGAACTAATGCTGCCGGAGAACGAGCCGGGCAGCTCCATTATGCCCGGTAAGGTAAATCCCACGCAATGTGAGGCCATGACCATGATATGCGCCCAGGTTATGGGCAACCAAGTGGCCGTCTCCGTTGGCGGTGCCAATGGACATTTTGAGCTGAATGTCTTTAAGCCACTGATAGCCTCCAATGTGCTGCGCTCTATCAAGTTGCTCAGTAAGTCCATTCTAAACATGAATTTTTTACTGATCTCTAATCGGTTTAACTGTTCGATTTCTAGGCGATGGATGCACTAGTTTTAACTGCAATTGCGTTAAGGGCATCAAGGCCAACAAGGAGAAACTGGCCCAGATCGTGCACGATTCACTAATGCTGGTAACCGCCCTCAATCCCCACATTGGCTATGATAAGTCAGCTCTGATCGCCAAGACGGCGCACAAAAATGGAACCACTCTCAAGGAGGAGGCCATAAAAGCTGGCATCTCCGAAAAGGACTTCAACGATTGGGTGCGTCCCGAGAAGATGCTGGGTCCTTCCTAGGTTGCCTGCCCATCGGTTCCTGTTTTAAATTGTTTTACCATTGCCATATAGTGCTTAAATTCGATGTTACTAAATTTGATTGTTCCAAATATAATCGGATCTAAGGTGCCCCCTTTAACTGCTACTTAGTCCTGTTGCCATGCTGAGAGATGGGCCTAATTAGGGCTGTGGAAAGGGACATCTATCCCTCCGGCAAAGTCACATTCGAAACCCCTTTTCGTCGAGGTAAATCAAATTATTTTAATGACGCACAAATTGATACTTTGAAACAAAATAACAAACGAAATGAAAATAGCTCGCAGCATTTGAGACTATTTTCTTGTATTATGAAAATGGTTGAACAGCCAATCGAAGGGGACGTTAATATACTCAAGTTGAAGCTGTGGTGAAAATAGGATACTTTGCATTACTTTTCATCCCCCACCTTGCCTTCTATTTCTAATTTGCATTATTTTTTCTTATTTCTTGCAAATACGTTTGAAGATGGGCTGAACCGTACAGGGTGTGCAGTTGCTATTATTATGCAAATTCTGGCTTTCATTGCATGAGTATGTTGCTCTCTCATTGTTTCCTTTTATTTTTTTTTTGTAATTTAAATGAAGGTCGTTCTAGCTTTCCCTGCCAGCCTGATGTCCTTCTCGGTCTGGGCAACAATAAGGGCCAATTGAAATGTCAATAGCATGCAATTGTCTGGAATGATATCCCAGGTAACCGGCGACATGGTATCCGAACTCAGGTCATCAGTATCTAGGGGTAGTGTCGAGTCAGGGGCCCGATTACCTATAATCGAATAAGGGAAATTACCTTCCTTTTTTTGACATTTTCTTTTACAATTTCCACACATCAACCTGGCAATTTAAAATCGAAAAAGTGAAGTATTCTAAGTGCAGTACAAACCGTCATTCTAGGACCCTTTCATAAGTTTTCTAAAATTCTTGACTGCCAGCTTCAATCTGCGCCAGCGCAAGCGGAAGTTCGTATTTTTTTTTAGCAATTGAAATGGAAATCAACAACAATGGCATTCAAAATGAGAAAAGTTGGGCAAGACTCTGGCGGAAATGTGGCATGTAAATTGAAGTGCTAACATTAATATGACCAAGCCCACAAGGTCATTCCATAGATCGAAATTTTTGCGAGTTTGTGATTGGTAGAACTGATTTGAGTTAAAAGTTACTTTATTACATGTCAATATGTTACTATTCCTTGATCTTATTAGTAATTCTTAACTTAAATTTATTTATATTTATGTTAATTAATGTAGTTTCCTTTAGCTATTAACCAGCCCTGATAATAGCTTTTCAATTTTTGTGGTAAACCAATCTGTAAGCCCAAGCAATTTCCAACAAAAGTAACTCAGTATGGCAAGGGATGGATATGCCGAGGGAGTATGAAAACTTGACTCATTGGTGGATGATTCCAAGACCCTTCAGACAAGTCAGTTCTTAAATAGCAACAAAAAACGCAAAATTGACGGTAAAAAATAACAATTTTTATGAAAGAAAAGCAAAGAACACTTTAAATTACTTCGCATAGAATTTTTTGGTATGCAAAGCCTGATGACCTCATTAATTTTCAATCTGAGCCAGATTACAGTCCGTTGCGGGGGAGTATGATGAATCTCCGGCATGCCTCGTCCCCCGACTTCTAATTTATGATGATAAATGAGTTTCAATCAAGCGGCAAAAGTGAAGTTGACGGCGGGCCAGTTGCCCATTTTGACCACTCGACGGCAGCGGCTCCTTGAATCACAAAATTTTTACGTATAAATTTATACATAATTCGATTTGACTTTTTCCTGTTGGAGTGGTGAGAGGATTTTCATTTGAATATTTATGATTTTCCTTTTTTTTTTTTGTTGGTTGATTTTCATCATCTCAAGAATCAGTGCGCTTATTGATTTTTATACGAATTTGTCTCAGCAAATCTCTAATTAAGAATACGCCTCGGGGGAAATTTGCATAATCTGTGCGAAGCCAATATAGATTTTATTTATCGGCTTTGTCCAGAGGCACCACCTGCTGGTCATAAATATATATATATGTGTCCCATTTAATTGGTCAAATGCTTTTCATTTATTAAAATAATCTGGCTATATTTCAAAATGCCAAGGGTTAACGGGAAAAGGTAAAAATGAATGGAAAACCCTTTTCAGCGAGGAAAACTAAATGACATTGCAGGTCCGTTTGGCAATCAATTTGGAAAGTCTATCGGGGGGGTAGAATGAAAATCTTTATTCATTCGAAGATCCGATAATTTATTGTCGATACACTTTGGTCAAACTTCTGGTATGTTGATTATGGTATTATCATTGTGCGTATAAACGTAATAAAAAAGTAACGTAACCTAAACGTAACGTAATAAGTTTGGTATTAAAGGGAGTACCTTAACATACATATATATGTATGTATATACATATATATATATATATGTATGTACATATATTTATTGATTGTTTATTTATATTTTTTTTTTTTTTTTTAATGCTTATTTGTGAAGGTTGGGGTGAAAAATATTTAAAAAACGAAACCAAATGGGAGTCATTAGGACAAAATCACAATTTTGGGGGCAGAAGAATTTTAGCAATATGATCGTAACCATTTTTCGTACATTTATAGCTGGCCATGCGATTGCCAAAGTCCACAGCAACGGGCAGGGATCGTTCCCGTATGTAGATGGCATAGATGAAGGATCCAACGAAGGTATCGCCCGCTCCCAGGGCATCCACAATGCGTTTGGGCTTGTAGGGCTTGACATGGGTATATTTACCATGGAGATCCATAAAACCAGAACCCTGATCACCCCAAAGGACGATCACATAGGGACGCTTCAGATTTAGACCCCATCGCATGCGCAAACGCTCGTCCAGCTGCATGCAGGCATCCTCGGTAGAAACCCAACCGTTCGTCTGGGCCAGCTGCTTAGAAAAGAAGGCATAGTCACAGTAATCTATTAGTGGCCACATCTCCTCCAAATTGGCATCAAACTCTATCGATAGTATGATCTTCTCTTCTCTGGTCGCATTATAGGCCGCAAATTCCTTGACTATTGTCAACATTTTATCAAAGTACAGAGCCCTCATATGAATCCAACCATATTTACTGAGATCCAATTTCCGGAAATCCTCGATACTCACATACGGGAAGTTATTATTGCAATTGATAATGTTCCGTGTCTTGGTCGATTTCGTGAGTATTACTGTGGCAAAGGGTGCATGCTGGTCACAGGTTGGACAATTCTCAATGATAATGCCGCGTGCCTTCAGGTCATCGATCAGAACTTGATACATTCTCAAGCTGCTAAGCATTCCAAAGAACTCCACTTTGACCCCAAGATTCGAGAGCACTGTGCAGTTATTGGAAGCATTCCCACCGCGTATAAAATATCCCCCGGTTGCCTTCTCGACATTATTCTCTACGGGAAAGTTCTTTATAGTTGCCACAAAGTCGATGGTCGTGGTCCCGACACACATCACCCTCTTCTTGCCAACAGCCCAGCTGAGCTTGTTCCCAAAGTCACCCATATTTTGGTTTTTCTTTTAATTTAAAACTTTTAAATTTCCAAAAACATAACTGATTGATTTGATAGAGAAATACAAACTAACTTCTAACGGAAATACTTTGTTAAGCCATTCAAAAATAGAAACTAAATCATGACAACCAAAAATTAAGGGGTCAGGGAATCTATAGAAGTGGAAGTCGAGGATCAAATTTAATATTTAGAAATAGAATTCAGAAATAGCCGCCAGGATGACCCAATGGTGTTCGATCAGTGTGATGAAGGCCGTGCTGTGCGTGGGCTGCACAGAAGTGGACTATGTGACCACCATCGAGAAGGCGGACTTCCAGAAAGACACGTCCCGCACCCAGAATGGTTACCTACAGCGCAGCGGACGATCATCGAATGTTAGTACGGCCCTTCGACTTTTGGGAGCCAATGTAGAGTTGTTCGGTGTACTGACCCGTAATCCCACCTATCGCATGATTATGGATGATCTGGAGAAGCGTGGCATCGATATTAGCCACTGTACATTCACCGACCAATGTCCGCCGTTTTCCACGATCGTCCAGGAACGCTGGACTCGTCGTTGTACGGTTGTGTATTGTGACAAGGCATTTCCGTATGTTACGGCAGCGGATTTCCGGAAACTCGATCTCAATCAATACGGATGGGTGAACTTTGAGGCTCGCAGTCCACGTGAAACTTGCGAAATGATACGTCTAATCCTTGATCATAACAATGGCAAGGATGAAGACGATCGTATAGTGATATCGCTGCAGATCTATAATGCCTTTGAGCAGGTCATAGATCTGATTGGGATGTGCGATTATGTTTTTGTCACAAAGTATATTGCCGAGTCACAAGGCTGGATGACACCATTAAAGGCCTGCGAGGGAATCAATAGTCTCCTGCGGATGCCAAGGGCCATAAGGATTCGCAGGCCATGCGTGATTGCGCCGTGGAGCAGCCTGGGTGCTGGTTGTATGACCGCCGATGGACAATATTTCGAGCTGCCTGCGCACAAGGCTAAGAAGATCGTCGACCGGGTTGGAGACAGTGATTGCTTTACGGCCGCCTTTATTTATGCCGCTTTCGTAAGGCAAAGACGTTTGGCCAATGCCGTGGATTTTGCAAATGCCGTTGCCTGCTATAAGTTGGGCTACGTTGGATTCGATTGTCTGCGGCAATTTCAAATCGATCCGGTCAAGCTGCCCGACAAGATCAAGGCTGAAAGTGAGGTATCCTCGGACGACGAGGATGAGGGTAACGATCAGCAGAATAACTGCCGGAAATATCTGTTTCGGCCATCTGAATTCCTTGAGGTGGATGCCCTATCCATAGCCACAAATGAACAGGAAGTAGTACTAGCTCCAGTGGAGCGGGGATCATCTAGCTAGCTCCAGTTATTGTCTGACTTAGTTATGTTTTTTAAATAAAAGAAATTAATAAAGTGGTAATGAATTGGGAAATCCAATATTTTATTTTACATATTGTTTGTATGTTTTAAGCTTACTTTGAGCCTTCCACTAGGTCTGGAATTGAGCAGTCCTCTGTTTTAGCTAGTTCCTGAATTAGATTGTAAAATTCTTTCACTAAAGGTTCCAACTGGTGAGCAACTTGCTTTAACTCTTTCTTGACAGCAGGCAGTCCTCCCGTATCAAGGGCTTTTTCAGTTAGACTTTCAATAATTTGCTTTAAGTTAACTTTTTCACCAAAGTACTCATCCAGATTTTCAACCACCACAATCGTGTGACCCTTCCAAAGGCATTGGATAAGTTCTAGATCACCTCCTATGATAACATTATCCTCATAGCTGACCAAATAGCTTCCGCGTATTTCATATTCAAGGGCTGCGGTTTTTTTTAATCATTATATATGTATGCTTTTTCATTAGATAATAGCTACTTACCAGAAGCTATAATATGACCGCATCTAATATTATGAACACTAAATATTTTCAAAAACTTTCGTTTTAGATTACTTGACCATACGACGACATAGAACTTGCCATTTACTTCATAGGACATGTTGGAAAAAATCAATCACCAAATTCTTCTCTCCGCTAAAAACGATTTCCAGGTAGTTGGCAAGTTCTTGTTAAACGAATGACGCTAGAGGTGGAGAAACATCGATACCAACATCAATGACATCTATGTTTTTGAAACATCGGCAACATCGATGTTTTTCCATCTCTAAGACACCTTGAGGAAGATTGATGAATTGTAAGTACATACAAAAAAGCGTTTGGGTTATGTATGGGTTTGTACTAGAGCGTGAGGCAACCATTTCCTAGGTTTTTCCATCCTTAAAATGTTTAAGGACTAATTCGCTTTGCTCATTAGTTGTTCGTGGCGCCATAGTTTGAAAATCCTCGTTAATCCGTAATTTTTGGGTGCCCCCAGCCTCGAAAACTTAAAAATATGCTTTTGTTAATATATTTTTACTAGTATTAAGAAAAAAAAATGGATTAAAAAGTCCTAGTTTAGAGTTATTAACCGTTAAAGTGCTTGCACGAAATAAGCTTGTGCGTCGGAGTTGCCCTATTTTTTAGTTTTTGTATGAAAAATTCTTTTGTTTTTTAAATTAGTAAAAACTTTTGTTATTATTTTAATAATAAGCGACATTCTTAACATTACTGCGTTTAAATTTTTTTTGATAACTCTGCTGGTTTAGTAGCAGTATCAAATTAAAAATTCGATTATTTCTTGCACGAAATAAGCTTGGATCCACTGTATATCAGTTAATTTAACACGCTTTTGAAACGTTAGCTAAAAAACACTTCTGCTTTCCAGCATCTTTAAGTGAGTCTGAAAGAGTCTTTAGTAAGGCAATACAACTTATAAGTAAACTTCGCATGCGGCTATTATCGACCGTTGTCGATAAGCTCCTCTTCTTAAGTAAAAAAAAACAAAGAAATAATATGTAAATATATATAGCAAAGTAGGGATAGTAAAGTTAGGATAGTATATCAATATCCCAAAGAAGTATTATTTTCTTTGGCCTATGTATATAATGAACAATGATTTTAAATTTGTTTTTTTTTTAGTTTTTACTATGCTTACAGAAGTGGACCAAGTATATAAAAACCATTTTATTTTAATTTGTTTTTCTTTTCGTTGTAAATTAAAAAGTAAATAATAAAATGGATAATGGATAATTGTTGAAAATTAGATTTTTATTTTTAAACATTACAAATTAAAATAAACTTAAAAAAAATAGTGCTTATATTTTATTTACAGCATCGATGAAAAATCGAATCATCTCTACCTCTGAAAGACGCAGCTATTGTGAACTTCTCCTGCGGCATCTGGGAACGTCGAACTAAAGGAATCGATAGTTTTAAGATGTTAAATCTCTGTTAAGTTTGAAGCCCGAATGTTAAATCTCTAAGTTAGCCGAAAACCACGCGCCTAAGCTTTCTCTTCAACCAGAGAAAGTGAGATGATCCTAACATCTAATCATGATCTGTTGTATTAGTTTGTAATTAGGAATTTTAAGTCCTTGCTAAATATCAGCCCTTGCTGTCCTTTTAACAGACATTAAGGTTAAGGACTAAATAAGTAAGCGATTAACGATCTAAATGGTCGTACTGGGCCTGCGCTATAAACTCCAAAGATCCGCAAAAGCTATGTTTACGTGATTTTCTTGCACATTTCAGCATAATTTTTGGAAACAATAATAATCTAAGGGCATGGCATAATTTTGGACACAATGATTTAGTGCAAACTCTTACTGGGTGGCGGTCATTTGACGATGTCACAGATAGCCCTGCAAGGAAATGGCCAAAACGAAAGATATATATATATATATGTATATATTTAGTGTATAAATGGATGCTGAGGAAGAACTGTTGCCACAGCATAATTGCCACATGATTAATTCTTGAGTCAGGAGAAACTTGTCCGGGTTCCGAGACCAAGATAAATGCTAATAGATATACATTTATGTAGACGTTGGGCGTTTGGACAAATGTTGTGAATACCGTAAAGCGGGTAGGTATGTATGTATCTTGGTCATTTATCATTTCGGACAACAGGCAGGCGGCAACAACAACAATTACCACGAATATAAGTGACAATTTTCATGCATTTCCCTGGGCCACGCGGCGTATGAGCGATGAAGATAATTTCAGTGCGAAACAGCTAAGATTACCAGAGAGAGAGAGAGAGAGAGAGAGAGATGACGATGCCCAGGCAGCGCAAATCGATAAATGTCCAACCATTTGATGTTGCTGAAGGAGTACGAAGGGGGATGGGGGAGGAGCCCTCAGAAATGCTGCATCTGGATGTGGCAACTCCCTCATAAAAACCATGGAGCCCAGGAACTTATTTCCTTTTCGGGCTGCTGTGTCGCCGCCATACGAATATGAACCAGAATTATGTGTCGCAAGCTTGCAGCTGCCAACTTGAGGGAGAGCTGCACTCAAGAAAAAGTCGTGGCCAAGCTAAGATTTGTTATTAAATTGAATTCAAGAGATCTCAGTTTAATGTTTATTGATAAAGATAACACTTTCGTTTAAAGAAAGCATTAAAAAAATTATTAAAAAAATTAAAAAACTTTTGTTGGAAGAAAATACGTTGACATTTTGTTAGAGTGTTTCACCCACATTCCCGGGTCTGAGCGTAGCCGGAGACGCTTCCATTTGCCATCCGGATACGTTTCTGTATGTTGAATGCAACCGGCAGAAGCCAAAGAGCAAAACCGACGGCGCACACTTACATTGTGAATAGCGACCGGCATTTATGTAAATTAAAAATTATTTCGGCTGTAAAAATTCAGTGGGAATTGTTTTTGGCAAGGCAATGTCGTTGGCAAGAGCGTGCTAACAAGGGGAAACATTCGAGATGATAAAAAAGTATAGATTTTTATGTTGAACTATTAGATACCCTTAAACTTTTTAAAGGATATAAACCTTTAACTATAAAAAATGTTTTAAAAATTTGGTAAGTTGTGGATTTTCTTGTTCCTAACATACAACACACTGGCATTCCACAACCTTAATCCACCTTAAAACTTATTTATTAAGCTTTGTTAACATTCTCTATCCGTTCTTTTTCTAATAATTATAGAGAATTAGAGATACACCACAGCGATGCACCACAGCGAGTCACTGGCAACAAAATCAGCAACAAGAGCAGCGAGCATAATAACAGTCATGACAATGGCAGTGGCAATTGAGAAAAACATTTGCTTTTTTAACTGCATTGGCTGTTAAGCAGATATAAAAGATAGTTATTGTTATTATTTCGAGCCACAGACAAACCGAAACTGAAATAATGCCTGAAAAATGACAGCCAATGTGCCGGAGATATGCAAGAATGCAATTCTGTTGAAATTTTAGTAGCTTAAATATCCTACACATTGCCTTTCCGTTTTGATTTTTGTTTACAAATTTTCATATTTTTGGGAAAATGTATTTTGTAGAGAAATGGAAATTTCTTTTTGCTTTGATATATCTACTATTTATATAGATGAAGAGTCTTTAAAGTCAAGTTTTATAATTCAGTTTCAGTTTTAAATGAAGTCACGTGATATCGCTTCCCATCAAAGGATTTTCTCTGTTGATGGACATTCGGCTGCATGATTTTTTCAGATCCTGAACATATTTGAAAATTGTTCAATCCCAGTTCCATACGCCCCCGCCCATCCATTCTGTTTTCGGCATCTGTATGCGACTGCAATGGTGCATAGATTATGCAGTTGGCTTCAGTTTATGATTGGCAAATCCAATATACGCTGTGCACTTTGGCAGCAGATTGGCAAGCCCGAAAGATGGCCGCCTGGCTGCCACTTTATGCCACTTGCACGCATATTTCGTCGTGCTCACACACACACACACACACTCCAACTCCCTACATACATACACTCTACACACACACACACACACACATAGTATACACACGTCTATGGAGCAGACACAAGATGGCGGCGCGCCCATTTCCGGCTGATGGGGCAATAGCGTGATTATCGGCAGACGGGCAGCGAAGGACAAACCGCAGCGACAAAAAATGATTGTATGAAGAGCCAATAGCCTTAACGTAACGAATGTTAAATACCCTATGGTTGGGTTTAAAATAAATTGTATTTTAAATTTAATTTAAGATTCATTAATCCTTTTATTTTAGCAAAAATAAATGGAATTTCGGGTGATTATTCATTCTATGAATTTAGTTTTGGGTTGTTTTTCCTTAATGAAATATCTTTTGATATAGTTTAGTACATTCGGTACTTCCTTTTTCGACGTAAGGTTATCCCATGAAACCAACACACACATCCAGTCGTGCGAAATTGCTGCCGCAGCAGTAAGCTGCAAAATAAGCCAAAAATATGCGTTATCAAGCTTGGCCAATAATAAAAAAAAAGAACCAACACACATACCCGTGCATTTTAGCCAAGCGCACAGCTGGAAAAACAACAACCTTGCACAGTGGTTGGAAAGTTATTTTATCTGGTCATTGTTAGTTAAACCTTTTTTGAAGTAGAGTGGGTAACCCCAAAAGGTTTTATTCTTAACCCCTCTCATTACATTAACCCAAGTAAAAGTGTTTATTAAGATATTTTTACCTGTTTAAAGTCCTTAACTGGTATTTATCATAAAATTTCATTGAAATTTCACTAGTTTCTTAACCACTGTGCATATGGCGTGTGTAAGTGGACCACTTGCATTTGAATCGCTGCTGACGCTGGGCCGCCGTCGCAATTTTGCATTACTTTGCATAACCGACGACGGTCTCCCGCTGAGGGTGGATGGCCCCCCTACATATACGCAAACGTTTTTGGCTAAGGGAAAATGGAGGGCGTTACAGTAACCGCCCGACACTGTGTCTAGAAAATGGAGTTTTGCCGCTGTGCCTTTATTTAACCATAAACTGTTCTTTCATGGTCATTATGGAGAGGCTTTCTTTGCCGGATTCCGCACATTATTCTTATTTATCGGTGGCGCAGCAGCACAAAAGTGGTTCAGTGGCATGGCAGGATTAACCTTTCCATACATAAAGCTGCACATTTGCTTTTCTATCATATTAACAGAAGGACACTGAAAACTCTTTAAGCGAAAGCCTAGATTTATTCTTAGTTACGCGAGTTTAAAACCATTTATTACGTCAGCCTATTTTGGAAAATAAATACTTTCAGTCACACAGCCTGAAATCTGTTTACATTCCTCATCCATCATGGCTTCGAATCTATCTCTCACTCTTTAC